CAGCCAAAAACAAACCCCCCCCCCCCCGGTCTTAAAAAAAATCTACACAAACCCTTAACCCCAGGGGGGGGAGAAAACCCCCCCCCCCCCGGTTCATTAAGCAATCTCATCAAACCCTTAATCCAGTGGGTGGCAGTAATCCCCCATGTCAGCACCGTCTCCGCGTGCTGCGACTGGCTGGGGTTGGGAGGGGGCAGGACGCGAAGGGATTCTCCAGGAAAACCGCAAGAGCGGCTCATTTAAGGTTCATTTATCCGCTTCACTCAGTTTTGTCTCGCAGGTCTTGGCGCACGGTTGGGGGAGGGGGGCACCATTTGCATTCCCTCTGGTGACTGGCAGATCAAGACCAATTAGTTCGACGTTACACTGTTACTAGCGCACAACAGAAATAACACCTTTCATCTCCGTTACAGGAGCCACAGGCTGATCACTTTGATCAAGACTATATATTTTAATATTTTAATCCTGCCCCACGCTCATCTGCTCGGGATTCGGGAAGAGAAACATGTTCTCACACACGCACAGCTGGTTAGACGTTGACATGGACATGGTCAGGTGAGTAGCGAGTTGGGGGGGGGAGGGAGGGGTCAGTGCTGAAATAATATTTCAGGACCAGCACGTCTTCAGTGACCCGGCTGATGTCTAGCAAGCCAGACTCGACCGTGACCTGATTAGCAGGACGACTGCCAGTAACTGCAGGAGTCCAAACGGGCCCGACATACTAACTGCACCGTGATGGATTGGATGGATGTAAAAATGGAAGTAACAGAGCTGACGGAACTAGGGAAAAACAAGTGAGAGGTTAAAAATGCCTTAGGGCTGGGGATCTGCAGACCCATTAGGGAGTGAGGGGGTTACTGCATTCGCTGCTGCACCGAGGTCACTGCAAACCAGGGCATCCCACAGCCTGGGCTGGTGCAGACAGCGCCCCCAGGGGCTGGGAGGCCCAAACTGCAGTGGTGTGAACCCTGCAGGAGCAGCTTGGCACCAGGGTGTGGAGCCTGATGGGACACCATGATAAACTAGGTGGGGGGGAGAGGAGGGGCGTACCAGTGTCAGAAGCATGGTGGCAACGTGCAAGCTGGAACAGACCAACTGGGTACAGTGACCGGGGAGGAAATGAAAAAGAAGTGCAGGTCTGAGGAAGCTGAAGTGCACCGCCCTGGTCACTCTCCGTGCGTATTACCATGTGTCTGGGATCCAACATGCCATTTCCAATGGCAAGAGGGGCAGGAGTACCAAGCCAAGACCCAGCATCCGGGGAGGGGGGGGGGGCGGTGGAGGCTGTAGGTCAAAGCTCATGCTGAACCATAGGGAAGCCAACGCTACCGTGACCGTAACACAATCAGCAAGCTGGCCGTGCTGTGACCGCCATGACGATGGGGACCTTGATCCCCCCTGCAGCCTCATTTCAGAGAGGGAAAGCAGAACACTTCCTGAGGGAGGGGGGCACCTGCCAGAAAGCCCCCCCCCACGTACCATTCAGTCTTCTCTGGAGGGCCTCCTCCTGCAGATGGATGCAGTAGATCTGCTCGTCCAGGTCTTCAAGAATCTGTAAGCAGATAATGAGATGCAATCGAGCCACAGACACAGCAGGGGGCACCAATCATGTATTCTGCTGTAGTGACCCAGTTGATTTAATGGTACAACAGCAAGGCCAACCTTCAGACTTAAACCACAAACCTTCCAGCAACAAGTCCATTACTGTCACATTATATAAGACTGTTTTGATCATTTTTATACCGGAAAATTCAAAAACTTCAAAAAAGGCCGACTGACTGTCTATTATTGACGCGTCATGTTCGGGCTTAACTGGTACCTTAGGCTGGTCGATCACCAGAACAAACCCCATTTGCCCGATAAGAACAAAAAAACCTACTTAAGTTTTTTGAAATCTTTTTTAACATTGTTTTTACATTCTAACAAATTTGCAATGTAACATTTGCAACATTTTCACTGAAAAAGGAGTGCGCGCACACACACACACATACACACACATGAAGGTAGAGATAAACATCAGCCCCGGGACAGAATGAATGACAATTTCCCCAAAGTATGCTGATGGGGGAAGGTCAGGTACTCACAGTCGGCTTCACCAGTAACTGGCCCATGACGGTGAACATGCGGGAGAGTCCAACAGGCGTACACACTGGAACGACATAGAGCAGTCAGACGGGGGTTAAAATATCAACGACAGTGATGGGCGTACACACTGGAACGACAGAGCAGTCAGACGGGGGATAAAACATCAACGAGAGAGATGGGTGTACACACTGGAACGACAGAGCAGTCAGACGGGGGATAAAACATCAGCGACAGTGACGGGCGTACACACTGGAATAACGCAGAGCGGTCAGACGGGGGGCTAAAATATCAACGAGAGAGATGGACGTACACACTGGAACTACGCAGAATGGTCAGACAGGGAGATAAACTAGATGCTGCTGGAACGGCAACAATGTATTCCCCGGTTTTAGAGGATTACTGTTTTTGTATGTTGTTAATGTTAAATAAATACTTAAAGTTAAGCAGTTGTGTTACTCGTATTATAGTTATAGTCAGGGGTGCAGATAACTGGTACGCAAGTACGCATTCACCTTTAAGAACGATACGTGCGACAATCGATTGTTTGTAAAAGTGCAAATGTGTACTTAATAATAAAAAAAAAATGCACATAAATTATTTGGATGAAAAATTTATTCAGAACCAAATGCCCATTAGAGTCAAGGTTTTGTTCCTCCATAGGGACCTTTCATGCTGAGAAAGGATAACCCTGATATAAATGATTGAGTTGGAAAAAATGAACTCAGGTTTCAGATAAAGAAATAAATACATCTCTGAAAAAATTTAGAGACCACACTGTGTTTTTTTTAAAAATCTGCGTCATTAAATCCAGGTTTAACCCTGGTTCTGCTGGCAGAGGCTACACAGAGCAACAAGTTGTTTCCAGGCCCAAAGTTTCTAAGACAGCAGTAACAAGAATAAGGTGAAGCAGGAGACACTGGGAACGACCAGAAACCAGCCAGGTAGAGGGCGGAAGCAACGTTCTAATGCCAGAGAAGAGCATTAATTTATCTGACAGTGTCTCATAAAGCGGAGGCTGACCTCAAGTGACCTTCAAAGAGAATGGCAAACATTAAGTGGTGTGCAGTGCACTGCTAGGACAGTTCATGAGAGGATCCTAGAAGCAGGACTGAAGACTCAAAGCAAGGAAGAAGCAGCGTAGAGCCAGGCTGGAGTTTGCAAGAAATTGTATTTTTTAGACAGAAGCATACCCCTAAAATAAGAAATGAGTGAAACTAAAAATTTTGCTGTGGTCTCAATTTTTTTTCCCCGACAGCTGTGTATATATATAAAAAAATGACCAAATGTAAAAGATGTTTAAAATGTAATAAATAATTCAGTACATTTATATACATAGATACATTTTGTTTTATAGTTAGTTGAGCAATGTTTAAGTCAAATCTGACGTTGCCTTACACATAGAAGAATGATCCCAGTCACTTCCACACAGTGAGGCATACAGTTTATTAATTAAGCAATGGTACTGGATCAGTACTTGGTATCAGCAGATACTCAAAGCCCAGGTTTCAATTTTGCCACGATTTGTCTCAAAATGAAATCAGGTATAGATCTTCATCCACATAATGTTTTTATGAAGTGGTAATAAGATCAAATCACATACATTTTGAGTTATCAAATTCACAAAGTCAAGTGCCTTCTGCAGTCACCCATCCCTTTGCTGCCACTATGCAGCGCTGCTTCAATTTCCGTGCGATTTCTCTCGGAATTTTAGCAGCTCCAAACCTATACAACGTGTCTGCAAAGTTTGAAAATGATCCGTCAAATAGCTCTTGAGGTCTCGCGCTAACAAATTAAGCGACTGCGGCAAACAGCGACAAACTAACGACCACAAAGTCACCACACCTCCACTGTAATCTTAGATCGGCTTAGATCCCCACTGGAGTTTGCGAAGACTGTCGCCCCAGAGGAGAGTGGAGATACTTACTGAGGAGCAGCAGGCCTCCCATGAGGGATATGCAGGAGTACAGGTACGGCAGGTAGAACTCCCAGAGATCTGCAGAGACATCACTGTGTGAGACGTGAAGGCAGCAGCAAGGTCCAGCAAAGGCATAACCCCAGTGAGCTGTATCTCTCCACCTACTGCATCACACTGCACAGTTTTAATAGCCCACTTCCACACATTACCAATATTATAAACCACACCGTGGTCTACTTGCACATCCTAATGCCCGTATTTATTACTTAGTAATACTGATATTTCTGTCCTGCACTCATGCTTTACTATATTACGGTTTGTCCTGTATTCTGCCCTACAAAGACAAAACGCTTCAACTATATATTTTATATAAAACTGAGTTCCAACCAGAAATAGGCGTCTTAGACTCTTATCTTGTGCTGTAATTTATCTGCCTAATAGATATACAGAGGTGGACATTTCAGGTCCAGAAAGTAAAAATCCAGACCAGGATTTTGTTTCAACCATCCAGTTGAGTACTATGTGATCATGACTCTTTATGCTCAACTGGTTGGTTAAAACAAAATCCTGGTCTGGATTTTCACTTTCTGGACCTGAAATGTCCACCTCTGTAGATTTATGTGTGGACAGTCAAATAAAAAATCTAATTTTCACTGTCAGGGTAGTTACTGTTTGGCCTTTGTGTTAGCAGCGTGTGGCTCAGTGGGCTAAGCCGTGTGCCTGTAATCACAAGGTCGCCGGTTCAAGCGGTTCAAGTTGAGGGAGGCGTAAAAACAATTTCCCCACGGGGATCAATAAAGTATCAATTATTATTATTATTATTATGTTTGTCCTAATGTCCCAGCATGCACCTGTCTCCCCCCATACAAACTGTGGCATAAAAGCTTTCTATGTTGTTCTGAATATGTGACGGTAAACCCTGAATCCCGAAGCCCAGCACTGGCGCAGAGCCACAGGGCACCCAGAACACGGTCCAGCTGAAGCGGAGGCCCTTACCATACAGTGACTCCATGCTGGTGGCGTCGTTGTCGATGAGCGCGGACGCCACCCACACGATGCCCAGGATGAGTAGGGCGAGCAGGAAGAGCATGACAAACGTCTCCAGGATGCGGGCCTTTATACCCTGAGGGGGCAGGCAAAGTGGACACCCAGAGCTCCAGTAAGGTCAATCACACTGGCGGGAATGATGGAGCGGGGCTGGGCAGATCCTGCCCCTGATCAACACTCATATGACATTAATCTATTAACATGAAAAGAACACAGTGGGCATCACAGCTTTGGTGTTAAGGACCAGTGGCACAGGTGGGCGGAGTCAGAATGCAGTCATGTGACCTGAGTGGGCATGATGTTACTGGGCCTTCTTGTCAGTGATTAGCCTTCAGTTTGCATGTTAGTATGGGACTGAGCAAATCCTCTCTCGATGGCCAGCGAAAAAGAGAACCATGGGGTTAAACCCTGCGATGGTTCCAGCCGGGGGGGGGGGGGGGGGGGGCCATGAAAATGCACGAGACGGAACAGCAGGCGAAAGCCAAAAACACACAAGGTCAATAACGGAGCACGCGCTGCCAAGCCAACCATTTTCAAATAAACTCAATCATAAATTCATAAACAAAGCAGCACATGGACATCAGCTGTGGTTGGACTCCGCCAAAATAGGAACGCTGTGGGAACGGCAGATTCCCCAAGCACAGACAAGACACGTCCAGTTCACCATATCAGGACCAATTCACTATGTGAGAACCTGTTCACCATTTCTACATCCAGACCGGTTCACTATATCCACGCCAGTTTGCTATGTCAGGACTGGTTCACTATGGGACAGCTTACCCTGAATATAAACTGCCATCTGTAAGTTAATAACTTTCACACACTGTCACAGAGTACAACAGCCTGCGAGTTAAAAAGATTTTTGTTTTCTGTAATAAACAAACACTTGAACATCATTTGAATATTATCCACATGCCATTAAAGTGTCTGCCCCCATTGCCCTTTTCTGCTGGAGAGGGATCCTTGCTTCCACCAGTGACCTCAACCCCAGTAAGGTCAGTAGTGGCCATTTAAGGAATCGCACTGGCCCCGCTATTCACAATCCAGGTTAAGGGCACGACAGCATGACATGGTGGGGCCCCATGGCCTTGAAGAGGAGAGGCCCCAGCATCTTAATGTGAATCACCAACCATGGTGAATGAGGTCACATCCCAACAGTGCAGGGACTGCAGTCTGCTGTTACAGTCCTGAGCCCACAGGGGGAGCTGCTGCTACACGATCCACAAACATACTCGAACACATACATACTCTGCAGCAACAGTCAGACCTATTCCACATAACCGTTAGTTAAGAGATTCATACGTTTCCTGCCTGAAAAGCCCTTCAGGTGAGGAACTGACATATGACCAACATAACCGCCCCCTAGCTTTACACATTCATTTATTTTATGATTGATAACTTGCACCAAACAAAAAATAGTTACTAATATCTTCATTACTGGCATGTGAGCTTCTGGTAAAGCTGGATATTTTAAAAATGAATAAAATGCTGCTAGCAGACAAGAGGGGAAATGACAACTGGCATGGGATTGGTCGGGAGCCAACCTGAGGGCCAGCCAATAAGCTTTCACTCTAGGATGACTGACACCTAGAGGACACCCCCCCACCACCCCCGTCGGTAAAAGGGGGCCAGTTAACAGCAGGCAGACAACAGAATGAAACAGGCACCACCTGGTGGCAGGTGGATGTTAGCGCAGAATGCATTTGGCCCGGGGATGCTAACCCGCTAACAGCATCTGTTGTGCCGTTTAGCGGGCAGCCATGCATGCAGAGGGCAGAGTGAAAGGTGCCAGATAATCCCAGCTGTAAGAGCTAAGGGAAGGCAGGTGATGTGACAGCACAATGCAAACACTTTTATATTACTTTTCATAAACGTGCACAGTGGCCACACAACGACCCAATCAGCATCTCCCAATTCGTCTTCCCCCCCCCTCCCACCCCTAGAAATCGGCACAGGGTCTAAGGGGACCGTCCAGGCATCAAATGCAAGCCAGGAGTTGGGGGGGTGATGTGGATGGCCAGCGCCACGCCGTGCCTCCCCTGCCTACGTGCCCGGGCCCACATCAGAGCACTGGTGAGAGCTAAACCTGCAGCCCCCCCCCTCTAAAGACCTGGAGGGGAAGAGGGGGGATGCCCCTTTTTTAAGCAGCATCCGCATGTTAACAGGTCACAGACTGGACTCCCCCCCCCCCGACAGAACAGAAATACAGACACACTGGGGTGTCCGGGACACCCACCCCCGCTGTCCCAATGCCAGGTCATGTGACCGTGCCCAGGGGAGCGGCCATGCCCTGCGCTCCTCAGGTGATAAGCACATGACAGAGTTCGGCCAATCAAGGGCCAGTGCTCAGATGTGGCACGACGACGGGGCTATTAATAGCCAGGGAGCAGTGGAGAGCCGCAGCCGCATGGAGGAACGCGAAGAAGACTGATCACGGGGAAGGCAGGGATCACGGGGTAAACGGGCCCCATCTTCAGGGAGGCCGGGACAGGAATAGGATGACAACGCGTCTCCTGGGGGGGGGCACAGGCTGCCTGTTTCAACGGAAAAAAAGGGATTTTTTTTTTGTCATTGTACTTGTGTAAACCACTTGCACAATGAAATTTACTACCCAGATTATTAACTGCCACGTTAAACTCCCTTAATCTGATTCTTCCAGTTAACATTTTATGTTATTCTGCACACAGGAAAACACTATATCATGCAAATTATTGTGTATATACATATACATATATATATATATATATATATACACACACACACACACACACACACACACACACACACACACACACAATATATATATATAAAAATATAATGTGTATAATCAAACACTTGCTAATTGACTATACACTATACAGTAACTTTCGAGATTTGTTTTTCATCCTCTGAAGGCATTGAACAGCCCACCTCAAACAGGTATTTCTGTACATTTCTGAAGGAGCAAAGGATCCTGGGAAAACAGGCCGCACACCTCTCACTCCAACAGGAAGGGACAGTGAGAAGGCAAAGAGCCATGACCTGCATATCTGTGGTGTTTGTGCCTCTTTTGCCGTGGTGGGACTACAATGCACCACAAAGGCATCGCAGCCTGGGAACAGGCCTGCAATGAGGAAATAGCACCACCTGCAGGAGATGAAGAGAAAGAGCAAGCAGATGCTCACACCCTTAAAAATCACCATCAGCATTGGTGAAGAGTAGACGTCTTAAACCAGGTCACCTATGAGTCGAGTTCCAACTCCAAGGGGCAAGCCATGAAGGGGGAGGGGCTTGATTCCAGATGTTTGGGGGGGGGCAGCCTGCATTTAACCTAAAGACACACCAGATGGCAGGCCAGTGCGTCCTTCACCGGAGGCTGGAGCTGGTCGCCATCTCTGACAGAAAGCAGACGGCAGCTGAGTGAGAGCAGATGGGGCGGGAGTACTGGGAGTACTGGGAGTACTGGGGCACTGGAATGGCCTGACTGCTGACCTGCTGTCAGAGACACTACCTTTATATTGTATTGTGCTGTGTTTGAAAAACAGTCCCATACAGAAAGAAGAGCGGGGCACCAAGCATTCCAGCACGAGATGAAAATAGGATGTTGTGAGCGTTCCCTATCGACAGAGACGGAGGCAATGCATGTATGGTCAGACGGCGGGGGGCATCGTCTCACAGAATAACCCCCCCACCAGCTCTGTTTGCAGCCAAAGATCGATCCAAACCACAAAACAGAAGAAAAACGAACGTATACCTTCAGAAACACTCAGCAAGCCAAAATGTTTCTATGGCAACTGCCATTCAGGGCGTCCCTGCTCTGGCACCCTGACCTGACGCTACGTCAGTAAACACTGTTCCACACACACACACACACACACACACACACACACACACACACACACACACACACACACACACACACACACACGGGAAACACGGTCCTGGGGGCTGCTGACTCCCAATACCGAGGCGGCCCATTGTGGCTGGTGAACAAAGCCGGTATCTAGGTAATAAGAGAGCAGCCCCCACTCCCCGCAGACCAATGGGAGAGCCTCGTGGATGAGGGGGCGGGGCATATGGGGCTGCATCTCGCTCACGATCATGAGACACACATGACATTCAAGACCATCTTCATACAGAAGAATGAGGGAGTCACGTACACCCTGTCTAGTTCACTCCCATCGCAGCATAAGACCTGGATGTGTTTTGGTTATGATTCATGATTGTCTCCAGGGTGCTGCTGGAAAAAAAAAAAATCTGCCCCACTAGCCCCTTCCCCCCATCACCCCCCTATGCAGTGGCTGGGCAGTAGATTGACTGAATCAGGCTGTAAGACCAGCCAGCACCAGATATGCAGGAAAAGAGGAACAACAACAAAATTGAGGACAACCACCAATCACACACATTCTGAGGCGGGGCCAATGGGTTTTTACCATCCAATCACGCGTTTCCCTCTTCAGTCCTTATAGCCTAACAGATCTCAGCCATAACCAAATGATTCCTCAGTCACCATCACAACCTGCTCAAAGTCCAACTCCAATGAAGAAGAAAGGCAAGTGAGAAAAGGTCTGTGTCTCCAACACAAAGCTTCTAGTAAAAACCTGAAAGAGCTGAAGGATAAATATGGTGATAATAAAAGCATTGACTGATTGATTGATTGATTGATTGATTGATTGATTGATTGATCGACTGACTGACTGACTGACTGACTGATATGCTACAGGCACCATATACGGTAAATTGGTCCAGACCACGTCAGCACGGGCCTGAGCGCGAGGCAGACTGGCCCACTGTGAAAGCGGCACAGCCCGGCTCCACGTCCTCACGCGAATTTCACCCGCGATTATGCAGGCGACGGGGGACCGGGGCATTTTCCTGGGCGGCACCACGGTGGACAGCGATAACCCAGCTCAGTTAACTCAAAGGCTGAAAGGGGCCACAAATTCACCAAAGACGTTCAGATATTCACAAAAAGGAGTGACGTCTCACACGCATGGAACTTTTTTTGCCGGGTTTCTTCAGCAAAGGCTTCATCGGCGACTAGAGCAGCCGCATTAACGGACAGTTACGTTTCGAAAGTTAAAGCGCAATAATCAACTTGAACACTACTATGTTGGACCACAAGGACACTAAGCTGTTTTTTAACTTGGAGTTAAAAGCTACCTGTGATAATCACACCTTATTCAGATTTAGTAATCATGGGTTTTCAGGTCTTCCCAGCATCACATGAGTGAAAGACAGTGAGCACAGATTCAGGAAAAAAAAAAAAAAAGGGACATTCAGACGAGAGAGAGATGGCTACAAAGCAGCTGTGAAGAAAGTTGCACCATGATGATGATGATGATGATAATATCCAGTTTACTTGTAATAGGTAAACCAGGCAAGTCGACACACCTTGACGCAGCTGAGAAAACTTAAAGTGTTAACAAAAATGTGAGAATTTAGTGTCAATATGGTAAAAATGCAGTTAAGTACAACATCCCATACTTCATTTTTGGATGGATATTTGTGTGTGAATAGGAGAGCACTAAATCTACTTAGATAGGTATTGAGGGCTCGTCTCACCAACTGGGGGGGGGGTTACAGTGGACTGTCGATGAGGTGGAAGCAGAGATCCAAAAGAGATAGACTCACCAATTATGCAAAAATGTGTTCTCTCTCATTACAGCGTTACATTAATGCGATGCTGACTTTCAAGATATTGATGAGGAAAGCAGATCTCCATACCTTCTTCGATCCGGCGAATCCCTCTGACTCCAGGAAGAAGTAAGCAAAGGGCATGAGCACGAAGAGGCAGAGATTGGAGAAGAGAGACACCAGGTTCCACAGGCCTGCAAGAAGAGGGTTACCTTAGAGCGACCCAGGTTGTCCGTGGCAAACAGAGCAGGCTGCAGGTTCGAGTCACAAGGTGTAGTTAGCGACGAGCGTCGAAAGATCGTCTCTTACTAACTGAAGCACCTGAACTAAAATGGGGCTTAAACATCAGCCGGAGTGAAGCACAGAATAAGGGTAAACGAGGGGAGCTGCTCAGGGGAAACGCCTGAAGCCCCTGAGCTTAACCAGCAGGTTAGCAGAGTATACTGATCTCTGATGCCACCTTGTGGCTATTTAAAAAAAGGCCAACAAAAATCCTCAGAGAGCACTGTGACTGGAACTCAGTGAAGCATTCACAGCGAAGGGCTGCTGCCCTGTCCTGCTCCCTCGCCACAGACTGTCTTGTATATCTGGCTGAGCAGCTGACACTGACCCAAGGGAATTTTCCAACCTATTCATTCTGCTGGAGCAATTCAGGGCTTATAGAGCACATTGGTTGCATCTCAGCGCTTGAGTTTCTTAAGAATCCTTAACAGCAGTTAAAGACGTTCAAGGTTGTTCTTGTTGGAAGGTCATTCGAGGTCATTCTTTGGCCATTTAACAAAAAGTCTAGGGAAAATGCTCCAACATTTGTTAGTTGGTTACGTTGACGATTAACACCATGCCGGCAACTAGGGCTACATTCATGGAGGGAGTATAAGAGAATTAAAACAGGTTAAATAACAAAAAAATATATATCATAAATAACTCTAAAATATTACATACGGTTAAAACATTCTACATTATGAGCAGTGCGTGGCTTGGGCTAATCCTTGGCGCCTGTGATTGGAAGGTCGCCAGTTTCTTGCCCGGCCTTGCCATGTCTGGGGGGGTCCTTGAGCAAAGCCCTAAACCCCCCCAGCTCCTCGGGGTGCTGCTCTTTGCTGCCAAGCTTGCAGTCACCTAACATGTGTGTCATGGAGAGCAAGACGGAGCAGGTCGAGAGAGAATTTCCCCGCGGGAATCAAAAAGCACCTTCATTTCAAGAGCCTTTAGATTAGCTTTTGATAAGAAGTTTAAGAAAACCTCTCTTAAAGAATCAGGAAAATGGTATCTTTGCCTAAAGGGAGTTAAAAGAATGAGCTCCAGCGTTTGCCTGAAGGCACATCTACACAGGTGACTGACCGGCACCAGACCTACGGCCGCTAAACCCCCAACAGAGAAGAATGTGGGACCTTGGTTCAGAGCTCAGGAACCCCTGCCAGGTAGACAAGGCTCATGACACTAAAGGCTGATTAATACTTCTGTGCAGAATCCACACCGTCGGTCACCGCGTAGCCGGGCACACCCCTCCCCAGAAACGCAACTACAGGCATCAGGGTATGGCGTATGGTACGTGGCTACATGGCTAACGATGGCATAGATTCTATGCGTAAGTATAACTCAGCCTTAATTCTTACACACAACACGCCACAAGGTGATCAATGCTGCTACTATGGTTCAGTGGGTCAGGACACTGTCTCTGAGGGTGGTGGGGGGGGGGGGCAGAGATTACACCACTGGCCCCCCGAGCAAGGCCCTTAGCCCCCAGTGGCTCCAGGGACCGTCTGTCTCTGCTTCCTCAAACGTACGTTGCTTTGGATGAAAGCGTCTGCTGCATAAATAAACGTAAATGCACTAACTCTGCGGAGGCCTTCATCCCGGACTCCTCCTCATCCTAGCCCACCCTTTCGCATCACATGCCTCAGTTTGGCGTAACGGACGCCAAGCTCCTGCCACAGTTACGCTCCCACGCCGCAAGGGGAACAACTTCGCTGAAGAACAACAAAACACCTAAAGTGAAATGTTTCCATGGAATTGTCTTCAGTGAACTTTGACACAGCTACTTGCTGCTTGCCCTATTCTTTCACACACTGGTGGAGGAGTGCTTGTATGAAAAAGGTCCGAAACGTGTGGCTGGGGGCAGTGATTCTAAAAATTAGGGTTTATCAGTGATAACCCAAGGCCAAAGGTAATAGGTGCAAAGAACGGAGGAACTGCTGGAAGGAAGTGATTTGTGAGAGGCTGCCCCCTTCAGGGGGGCAGGTGGAGGTGCGGGCTACTGACCATGGATGAGTGAGCCGTTGAGCCACTGGATGTAGTAATTCTTGGGGAAGGAGAGCAGGATCTCATTAGCGACTATGGAGAAAGGCAGCAACAGCACGGCCCCCGCAGAGACAGCCAGCGTGAAGGTGCACAGATACAGCCTGTGGAGAGGGGGCCTGAGTCATCATTGGCAGCACACATAGGGGGGGGGGGGGATCTGAGTCATTGTGGAGGTTGACCAGTGTCCTCGAATGCAAGGGGTACTTTCCTACTGCAAAGGACACAAACACAGAGAGACAGACAGAGAGAGACATACACACAGACAGAGACACAGAGAGAGAGAGAGAGACATACACACAGACAGAGAGACATACACACACAGACACACAGACACATGCACGCACAGACACACAGACAGACAGACAGACAGACAGACAGACAGACAGACAGACAGACAGACAGACAGACACACACATGCACGCACACACACATACACACAGCGAGAGAGAGACATACACACACAGACAGAGAGAGACATACACACAGACAGAGAGAGACATACACACACAGACACACAGACACATGCACGCACAGACACACAGACAGACAGACAGATGCACGCACACACACACATACATACACACAGCGAGAGAGAGACATACACACACAGACAGAGAGAGACATACACACACAGACACACACACGCACGCACAGACACACACACACAGACAGACACACACACGCACGCAGACACACACACACACACATACACACAGCGAGAGAGAGACAAACACACACAGACAGAGAGAGACATACACACACAGACACACA